ATTTTATAACTACGGAAGTTTGGTCTGGTCTGTTTAAATCCGGTCTGATCTGTTTAAGTCTGCTCTGTTTTGGTCTGGGACTGAAAACAGTCCAAAAGAAAACATGCTTAGTATGCATGTTATCCTGATTAGGGGTGTGCATTAACCGGTCCAGACCGCATTTTGGACCTGAACCGGATCGGAATGGACCGGTCCGGTGTATACAGGTCCGGTCCTCGGTCCACTGAAAATTGAGATTCCGGGTTCCGGTCCGGTCCGGGTCAAACCCGGAAAAAATAGGTCCAGACTGGTAACCCGGTTATTTCTATTATTTTATGCGTTTGGGTTTGGGGCGGCATAGCCCAATAGATTTCATACAATGACTAAATATACTTGTAAGATGGGCTTTTCATATTTCCGAGGTGGAGAGTGGAGACCAGAGACTCTTCATATACTCATTCTGTTTCAAGTTTCAATATAATGTCTCGACTCTCAAGTTTCAAGTGTGCACTTCGGCCGTTCTTCTCAATCTGTCGTATAGTATTCTTCGTTGCTCTCCTCTTCCTCAAAATCAAGTCTCAAGTCCTTTATCAAACATGTTCAATTTATTATTTGTTTTATTGGATTTTTCATTGTTATACTCTTATATAATTAATTCCCTTTTTAAGGTTTAATTTAGGGTTGGGGTTTTGACGTAGCCTAATTTATAAACCTTAGATGAGCAAGAAACCTGCTCTGAATGATTAAGACTTAGGCATGGGCTACCATACGTTGCTTTAAATTTCAAAATCTACATATCAATGGTTAAGTTTACTGCTACTGAAGCATCGATTTTGATGAAGAGTAAATTGTAAAACAAAAGGTTTTAAGACATTTTTCATCTGTATTAATGGGTTTGTTTATAACACTATTTTCATATTTTATTTACTGCGAAATACCATGACATTTACAGATGGAGAACTTTAGATCGAAAAAGCTTGTGGAGGGACGCCAATATCTGGTTAGGGAGAGTAAAAGGAGAGCACCATACTGGTCAGATTTTCTTGAATATCTAGCAGGAGGATTACTTATGGCTGAATGTAAATTTTGTGATAAAACTTTTGTTGTTGATGGTACTATTAATGCTTCAAAAATTGTGAAGAATCATTCAGAAACATGCCTAGATAATCCTGCTAATAAAAACATATGGGATGCTTGAAAAAGGTAATATAGAGTATTAAATAAATATACTCTATTTGCGTGTTCAGTTACAACTCTTAAAATTTCAATCTTACTTTGATACTCCGTATAATTTTTGTGTTTTGTAGGAATTCAAGCTCCAAATCTGGAATATGAAGTGATGTACGTGAAGGATTGAGGGGCTTGGGGCATTAGTTGGAATTTAACAATAATATTTAACATATAGTTCATATTTCACATTTCACATTTCATGGACAATTTTGGATGTAAAACTTTTGTGGCATTTACTTTTTATTGTGAAGCATATTTTTGTAGCAGCAAATCTGCCATAGCAGTCATTGCTTCGTTTTCTTGCATCTTAGTTATGTGTGAAGTTCTACTAAATACTACTCCGTATAAAGTGGGAGTTTTTTAGACAATCTTTCTTTTATATTTCAAGTAATTACATATACTTCAAATTAGAATTTGAGGATTGATATTGTGCGATACTTACGTCTTGTTATTAGATATAAAAAGGACTAGTAAATTACTTTGTTGTTTGTGCAAGTGGTACCTGGCTTCAACTTAAACGGTCCATTCAGGTCCAAAACCGGACCGGACCGGAAAATACTCGTGCTAATACTCGTGCGACCACACCCATCACCATTTTCAATAATTTAAAACAGAGTACTCTCTTTCTATTCACAAAATTTGGTTATTTTGACTTTTCTTAATTAGTAGCAATAAAGTTTGACCAATAATATTTTGAATACAGAATTATTTAAAATATACGTAGTAAAAAATATACGGACATGCTGTTTGTTAAAAAAATTCATTCATAAAAGTATAAAAATTATAGATATCCCATAAATATATACAACAACTAAAATCATAATAGTTCGCATTAACAACAAAAATCAATTTGACTAAGTTTTGGGGATTATGGATCAGTCGTCGAAACTATGTCTGAGTGTCGAGTCGACAATATCTTGGCAAGGTATATGTAGTTGTTATTGTTACGTTTTATTTTCTATCCTTACAGACCAAACATTTCAATTCCTACAAAGAAGGAAAAGAGTGCGGGAAAAAGGAAAGTTGGACCGAAAGTAAATAAAAGTTGATGCAACTGTAAAAAGGAAATAGGAAAAGAAAAAAACAAATAAAAGTGCTTGAAAGAAAAAAAGAAACCGCGGAAACAAGAGTTAATGGAAAAATAAATCTGGAAAAGCACGAGAAGGATTAAAGAAACCCGAAAGGAGAAAAATCTGAAAAATGAAACAAAAAAGGAAGAAGAGATGAAGACAATAAGACATGAAGTAGAGAGACGTATGTTTTATGTGTAGGGCAAGAGAAATAATGGTAGGTGGAGGGTAAATTTACGTACAATATATAGATCCTATTTGCATTTGAGGTGCCGGTGGTTGTAACTCAACCCATAAATAAGGAGTGCCATAAGAGTCTTAATCGTTTTTTATTTCCATTTGAGCTTTATTTTATTTAAACCTTTTTCAATCACGTTATGCTTGGCGTACACAAAAAGTGTGCACTTTTTGTACACTGCTTCTGCCTGTCTGCCTGTGTACACAGGCAATTTAGAGACATATATTGCTCCCTTTTTAACGAATTGCCCGTGTACATATGCAACTATGGGGTGTGTACACTGACACACAAAGTGTACACATTTTGTGTATCTTAAGCATTTTTGTTTTAATCAATGCTTTAGAAAATTGGGACAAAATTGAAGTGAATATGTTTCTTCCATCTATCATTACTCCATTAATCATTCCCATATATCCCATCACACCTTTTCACATCCACCATTGTATATAAGGGTGGACATTTCGGTTTACGATTCGATTTTGTTCGGTTTCGGTTCGGTTTCAATTTATTTGGTTTAGCGAAAAATGTACTCCCTCCGTCCCAGAATTAACTTCGGTTTTGACTGGGCACGGAGATTAAGAAAGTGAGAAATGTGTGGTGGAGAGTTGTGCAGAGGAGAGAAAAATGTGTAAGAATGGTTGTGAACCACAAATCCTTTGCTAAAAAAGGAAAGAGGAGATAAATTTTGGACGGACCAAAAAGGAAAGAATGAAGATAATTATGGGACGGAGGGAGTACAAAACAAAAATCGTATACATTTCGGTTTAGTTTCGGTTCGGTTTGAAAATAAATTGGTTTGGTTCGGTTTGGTATTCGGTTTACCAAATCAGAAACGGTTTGGTTTGAGTTGAAACAAAACCAAACCGATTAAATGAAAACAAAAAGTATCCTGTCTTGAATAAGACTTCATGACATATACACATTTTAAGAATAAACATATCAATCACAAAAGCCTAAACTCAACCATTTTAAATTTTAATAATTAACAAAAAACGCCAAAACTATATCCATCTACTATTTTCAGAAGCTAAAATTAACAAAGAACATCACATATAGATATGTAATTTAGCAAATGGCAACAGCTGTTTCAAATCATGCATTTATCGCACTAAAGTACTTCATTTAAATTTTAAAGAGAGTCCAACATCATAATGTCTAAGGTAAGACTAACTAATTGAGTTGATACCGTGTTCTGGTGTTATCCTATGTTGCACGAATACGGATACGCCGATACGCGGATACGCGGATACGGGTACGGCGATACGGCACTTTCAAAAATTATAGGATACGGGTACGGGGGTATATTTATAAATAATAAAAATATAGGGTATGATTTGCAAATATATATAATTCAGGGGTTCATAAATAAAATAATTATAATAATAATAGTACAAAAAATTAACTATTATAATAAAGTTTCAAAGATTAGTCTAAAAAACTAAAGTATTGATATTTTGATTTAAATTTAAATAATTTTTTTTTGTTCTCTATTTGCATTTACATCCAAGTCTTGTTTCAATTAAATATCATCAAGCAATGAAATGTCAAATTATAGTATTCCATTATTTTTCATACTCCCGAAACCATCTTTATCAATGTTCCACATGTTGTGGTCGCTTGGTTGGCTACTAAATTTTCGTCATGTCGTGTATAAAATGAAGGGTTATAGGTTCAGATACGCGTATCGGTTCACGGATACGGGTATCGGAAGTGTCGGTATTTTTAAAATTAAGCCCGATACTTTTATTAAATTACGGATACGGACCCAGTACGTACAGGACGGGTATCGGTGAGTATCGGATACGCGGATACGGCATCGAAGTGAAGTATCGGTGCAACATAGGTGTTATCTAGGTCATGTGGGGTGTAACCCAGTTAAGTTACCAACTCAATCTTGAATCCTACGTACCATACGTAAATAATGCATTTTCTTGACAATGAATACAACATACACTACAAGAAACATTGCCTATAGTGAGAGTATCACCCGTAATTAAAGCATGCAATCCTGTCATGAAATACTTTTAATGAGGGGATATCTACCATCACCATTCGTCACTACTGCTTCCGCGATTAAAAGTATATAATGCGGGGATACGTTCCTATCATTAAAGAGTCAATAATGAGAGTGTATTTACCATCATTAAAAATGACCACTTGTGACAAAGAATCCCGTCATTAATACATATAATCAATATCTAGTGTATTTTTTTATGACAAAAAATACCGTCATTATTACAAAGATTTTTGACCAAAAATTCTCTCATTACTATTAAAGCCACATCATTAAAATGGTACACTTTAATGACCAAATTACCTATCATTACACAAAAAATTTTTTCTTATTGAAATTGGCATTTTCTATGATACATGTTAAGTATATTGCAATGATAATATTACATATAATCACATTCTGACTAAAGAGATCAGAACAATAACATTACATAATAAATGCTTAACATTTATTATGAAGCAAAAGTGGTATTCAAAATGATTAACAAGTACAAAATAATTGGTTGGTAATTGTAAAAGAGAAGACCAACATATTTAGTTTAGTGAGAAACAACACTACAAAATCAATAGTCAAAATATATTGCTAGCTATAAGCCTAACTGCCTAAGAAGTTTGCTTTTGCTATGACCTCCAATGTTGAAATATGCAGCTTGATATCTGTTCACAATAAACAAAGAATACTAAGTTTCACATGATATATAACAACTCTCAAAGAAAAACTAGCTCAATAACGTAATATGTCAAACAAATGATATCAAGATTACAGATCAATGGATAGTTCTCAACCATCCAAATTAAAGCAACTTTAACGTAAAAGAGAATTAAAGGTCAAGATTCCACAACTAAATATGATGTTCTTCATAGCAAAATAAACCTAAATATCATATTTTATCATAGTGCTTTCTAAAGTGTTCAGAAGTCAGAACTATTGCAATTGCATTATTTCAAGGCCAACCTAACTATTCTAGCTTTTTTGCAGAAAGCATATTTGAAGTGCTTATATCATAACATGATGAGGATATGTTCTATAATTCCAAGCAATAGGAATGCCTAGAATCAAATCACCCACTACTTTCCATTTTCTGGAAGTAGTTTTTCACAAATTCAAATAATCTTAATAACATTTAGCAATCTTATAACTTTTAGCTTCATCTGTTCATATTTAAATAATTAGACTTGATAAAAGAGTGCAAGAAAATGTACCAAGTGAACAGAGATGAAATCTCATACACAATAAATGAAAATAGTAAATAAAAGAAAACAACAAGCTTACCATTGAATGAACTTCATACGTGCTGCAAACTTTGTATTCTTGCATTTCAGGAATTCTTTAATGTTTTAAAAGCAGCCACTATTAGAAAAGAATCACAAACTAAATAAATAAATTGGTTATATCATCATATAAATAGAAACACCACTGTACCTGATGAGAGTCACTATTTGGAGTTGAAGGTTGTTCCTCTAAGGGTGATTCAACCCTCTGTATTTGGTTTAACCTACTTTCAATTTTATCCACGCGTAACTTGAGCTCAGCGTTTTCTTCATCCTTTTTGCGCAACTTTGCCTCTAGATCTGTGATGTATGCCGCTTTGGTATCACTAAAGTGTTTTCGCTTCACTCCACCTCCAGCACAATAAACAGTTCCATGTCGTTGAGGTCCAAAGTGCTTTTCAGCAACATCGAGACTTGTAAGTGATGGATTAGACTTCACTGTCTTCACAATTTCATCCTATAAATATTTGCAAAGATAAAAACCAGAGAGAAATTAATGAGTAGAAACTAAATAATGAGTCGACACTATGAATGAGGGTCATGATATAGTGATAGTTACATATTTTTCCTTTTCTTTTGTCCCATGTAATTTTCCATTTCTGCTCCGAGTCAAAAAAAAAAATCACTCCCAAGTCTGGATCTTTTGCATCTTTACCTCCGTGTCATATATAAAAAAACATCATCAAGAACATTTATGTCAAAAAGAATAGCATTGAAAAATAAACAAGTGCGGTTAGAGGTTTTCATACATTTTCATATATGATTTCTCTGTGTGGCATACTTCCTGTGCGATGAGGCATTTCCATATCCGATGCTAACCTGTTTTTAGAATTCTGCTCACTGATTTTCTACACAAAGATACAGTATAATAAACTATTTAGTTAAATATTAATATAATTTTCACATTTAAAACCATCAATGTGAAACCTGAAACTCAGCAGTCATAAATTTTTTAGTAACTAGCCACTCCCAATCCTCAGCAACCACCCCTTTTGGAACATTCTCGATAGCTTCACCCAAACTATTGCAAGGTTTTACAAAATTCACATTCAGCACAGACCTCCAAGCTGTCCATAATGTACACATATTCTCTAGAGTTTCTTCACGATATAAATCGATATTTGGATTGTGAAAGCATTCCTGTAACATTTTGAAACAAAAAAGTATAATTCTGAATGTATTGTAAGCTGTTTAGAAGTATCAAAAAGACAAAAACAACAAAGTGACAGTTCACAAAAGTTGCTGAAACACACATGCCCTTTAAAAAATCATGTTGAGTCTCGTGACCCAAAACAATATTTTAAACTTGTTTCAGTACAATTAGCTAGCTTGAAAACATTACTCATGATTTTTTCTTTAAATGTAATCACTGTACATATTACATTTAAGAAAATCTCACACCAAAACCAGTAATTTGATTTTCTTTTCTTAAACTTTAGTTATTGGAGAAATCAGAATTATAAAAATCCCAAACCAAAACTGAAGTAACATATTATCAAGAACTGAATTTACAAATCAAAATAAATAAAAGTGGCATACCTTTACGGCCTCCCACATGTGTTGCTTTTCTGCATTTCCAACATCCTTCCATGAAAGAACTTGCACAGGACATATATTACGATCGCGGACGATTCTTCCCAAGTGCCGGGACCAATAGTTATGATTTTTACCAACTGGACGATTATTATAGAAGACAACTTCAAGTTTTTCTCCTTGTTTCAACTCAGCAACCTTTGTGTTCTTATTTTCTCCTCTAACTTTTCTTTCTTTTTGTACAGATGGAGCTATTTTAAAGAACAGTTTATTAAAATTACTATTTAGAGTGTTATCACTTCAAAAAATGTAATGTAGTAGTAATAAAAAACTTACTCTCAACCACTTTGTCAGATATAATGAAAACAGGTTCACCAAATTTACCATCTTCACTTATAGGAGTGTATTTTGCTACAACATACTGTCCAACAGCTTTTATTGGCAAACGGAACTCCTAAAGAAGGATAACCATCAATATGAATTAATTAAACATATGGATTTAAGTAATGTATTGCTATATAATTACCTTATCAGAACTGCTCTCACTAATTGCTAGAAGTTGTTCATCCTTATCAAAGTTTTCAGACAAAGTAATGAACAATTGAACTGTGCTTGCATGCTCAACTCCTCCAATTAAAGTCCCACACACTTTCACTTTCTTATTTGCCTTTAAATCACCAAGTATTTTGACGTTTCTTACTTTCGGATACTCAGCATCACCTGGAATTATAATCATAGAAAAGTAATTATATACATACAATGAAATGAAGCAAATACATACAGATAAAGAACCATACCTGATCCAGGGATGTCTTCTGGCATCTTAAAACCTAAAGGTTTGGCTTTTCTATCCTTTTCCAAATATAAATCTATGCATGGAACACCTTCATTTTTATCCAATAAAGCCATAACATCCTTATCACATTTCACAGGTATGCCATCTCCATCAGTTACTTTGATACCAACAGAATAGATATCAACATACTTTTTGCATAAGTTCAAGATATCCAAGAAAGAGCTGTCCTCATTGAAATCATATTCTATTAGTTCCCTTCCTTGAAAGTGCATAACTAGAGTGTGGGACGAGATGTCTCCTTCTAAATTGAAAGAGTAATAGTTAGATAAATTAACATGTTCATAAGAATATGCAAGAGAAGGGTTTACCAAATGTTGTAGCTCCCACACAATGAAGAGTGTGTGAAATCGCATTATTACAGTGACCTGAAATAGGAAATGTTATGAAGTAATGGAACGTACTTATACATATTAATATAAACATGAAAAAATATGAATAACCTTACTTTTCTTTAAATAATTTGTGTGGTTTAGAACCTCTGGAACACATAACGATGATTGGGGCTCAATGTTGTTCTTTACTAAAATTGTAAATAAGATCACAGTATAAACAATTAATTTACAGGATTGTGTATAACTATTACTTATTGAAAAATTTCTTCCTACATTCCCTTAAAAAGAAGGATGAAAATAGCACTACCAAAGTTCTGTTTGTTTGTGCGAAGTTGGCTCAACATTCCAGGCGCTATCAATTTAGGCAGCTTCTTGTTTATTTCTTTTCTACCCCTTTTATCCATAATTGCTCTCAAAGAATCAGACCTACAAAAAAATTCAGTTATAAGAAGTTTAGTCAGACCTTTTATCCATGTTTGTTTGTAAAAATTTCTTTTCTACCTCTTTTATAAGAAGTAAAAAATTTAATAGATTTGATAGTTGCAAAAAAATGTGGTAAACCAGTGAAAAGAAAAAGCAATTTAAACATACCAGCACAAAAGTCATGTAAACCACAAGTAATAAAAGCAATTTACACAAAACTTCTCAAATGTCTTTTCTTTGATAAGGGTAAAAAACAATAAAAGCAAAGGGATATGAAACCAGGTGATTAGTTGATGATCAGGCCAGAGATAAATCAGAGAACTGGCAAATTAAGACGAATTAGGGAACCAGCTAATCTAAGAAGAATCGCAAAATCAGCAAATCCAAGAAGAATTAAAGAAACCTGTGAATCCATGAATAAGCTTAGTGACTCGGGATTCTGACTGCTAAGATCAAACAAGTTTAAATTTTTATATATCATTAATTCAACAATAGATTTTATACCCAGTACAACAAAAAATACGATACTATCATATCATTATACAATACATAACTTCCTGCCTCTATGCTTTTGCTTTAAATTTTAATATTATATAGTGTAAACTACACTCTGCTCCTGGCTCATGGTCATGGACAATACTCTACTCCTGGCTTATGTTAAATATAGGGTGAACTATGAGTACCAATTAGGGGAATAACTTTATTAGATTAAAAAACAAAGTAGTGTGAATTAATCAAGAAGGCCAAACGCAGAAAGCCAAACGTAGAAATCCAACCGCAGAAGACCAAATGCAGAAAGCCAAACACAGATTCATGGCCTGAAGAGATTTATCATAAACCCTAAGTAAATAAAAACTGCAAAACCCCCAAAATAGCACCAATTGATTTATCAAAGGCCGCCTTTTGTGAGTAAGGCCAGAAACCAAGCGTTATTGCTTAATTACTCGCCGGAAAAAAGCCCAGCGCAATTCCGCAGCTCGCTTGGGTGTTCATGCAAGCACACTTTTGTTTGATTTTATTAAGTTTCGCGGAGATGGGTGATGAATTCTTACCTTTAGCCCACGCAGCCGATGGCCACGACGAGAGAGTGGAGATGAAGGCGCGCAACGAAGGAGTATGAATCGCAGAGATGTCTGGCAGACGAGTCTGTAGGGTATGAAAGTTTCCTAAAGAAAGGGTTTCTGCTTTTTGGCAAAGGGTTTCTAATGTTTAGTTCTATTGATTTAGTGGGAGATTTTTTTGTTTGCCGCTCCTGAAATGTGCGCGCCATTTGTCAAATTAGATATAGCGAGGGTCTTGAAATTTTCAATCATCAATAGTGAGGGTAATACTTAAACATAACGTTTTTAAACAAAAATTCCTCATTATTTTAATTAGAGAGTTTTTTCCCCTCATAAAAGCTCTAAAAATAGTATTATTAATGAGGGGATCATCCACCCGTCACTAATTTTCGTAGTTAAAAATAGCATTTCTTGTAGTGATACTATCGTATAATATAAAGAAATCAGGAAGCACCAGAGCATGTCCAAGGAAAAAACCAGGAGAAGCATAGAAAAGCACGAAAATAGGTCCAAGGTGTAGCACTGGGAAAAGCATTCAAACGTTCAAGGCGATCCATGGCTAATGCTTGAAACATCTGTACAGTAAAAACCATAGCAGCACAATGATCCATTTGCCAACAGAAATTGGGAAATTAAACACAGAAAATTTATAATTTGAACATCAATACCTTTAAAGAACAAAGGACAACCAGCCATGTTGACCATAGTCCTGCTTGAAAAATGTTGATGGAATGACCAGGGGGATGAAAGGTCCCTAATGACAGCATGAACAAACATTAGGAATTCAGGACCATTGTCGGGTGTTTTCCCAAAACACGGGAAAAGCTAACATTTGCTACCAAAATACGGGAATAAAAGTAGGATTTCTGAGAAAGCGGGATTCGGAATTGCCAATTCCGACTAGAATAAGGAATCTCAAATAATTACATCACCTCTTCCCGTCGGAATTCCCTATTCCGAAACCAGTTTTTTTCTTTTCTTTTAATTCCATTCGGAATTCACAAATACAAGTAGAGCCTTTTTTTAAGATAAGCGTGAGTTTATTTATTTATTTGTAAAAGTGGCGTGTAAGTTTTTAATGTACGTGTTTAGTGGATTTAATTGATGTGAGGCGTAAGTTTATTTATTGATTTATGCTAAAAGTGTTTAAAGTCTATCTGATTCAATTTTATCTAAGTTTAACTGATTAAATTTTATTTGATTAAATTTTAATACACTAAATTTTCTTCTAACCTGGTTTATGCCGGTGTTTCAAACACCTTTTCTCAAAAACATGCCAGGCCAATATGTCACTCGGTGTTTTTTATAAAATAATTTCCTTTTTATCATAAAACCCAAATATCCAAGTCTGACAAGCACCCTATCCTCCGTAATACTAATAATAATACTTTATGTCGGAATTGGGGAATCCGTCATGAGTGCCTTTAGTAAACCCTACCCGTGATCGGAATTGGGAGTTCCGACTCCCGTATTTTCGTACCAAAAAAGGAACTCCCGTCTTTTGGAAGGGCAGACACAGAACTCCCGTCTTTTGGTCATTTCCTCACCATTGTCCCCTTTATATACTCCAAAACCAACCTGAGCAACTTTAATTTAGGGTACAAATTATCAGGAGATGGGGGCAAGCCTGCATGTTTGGCAGCCGCCTGATATTAAACAAATTACAAGTTAGAACATAAACATACTATCCTTGAGATTAGAAAAACATATCCACATTCATGTTGGGATTGGAAAATTCTTCTATTCAATATCAAGAACAGAATTACAATAGGAGGAGCAAACTCTCACACTCAACTATTACAAAAAACCAATCCTCACCTATACACTTCTACTCTAAGTGTATTTTCACTCTTCACACACTTTTCTCACTTTCTAAACTGATACAATGAACAACAATGGAGCACTCTATTTATAGGACTAGTTTGGAGACAAGAGGAAGTTGCATCCAAGCTTCCAAAGTATCTCCATATCCCCTTCCATGTTCATGTGTTTGATAGCACCTTCCTAGAAGGTGTTATATGTCTCTTGGCAACTTCCAAGAAAGAAGGTGGAAGATACCTACAAATCTCCCCCTCCACCTTTTTCTTTATTTCTCTCATTCCTGCAATGCTCGCAGGCTCCCCCTCGCTAACAAGTATCCATTCGGATGTGGAATACTTTCTCGGTGGAACTATGCCTCGCGTAGAACGTCGAACATGAGTACCTTCAGCTTCGTCTTCAGATGAAGGCTCCCCCTGCTGAGGAATATCATCACTGTGAGTATCATCATCACCTACTGAACCATCACTCTCTTGTTCAGTAGTATCATACATCTCCTCGTCGCTGAGAGGAATGTTTGATAATACAGGCACTTCGTCTTCTGGAGTATGTTGTTGGCGGATTATTGGAGCACACCCATGAAACTCGTTTTCATGAAATACAACATCTCTGCTTCGTACAACTTTCTTCACTTCGGGATCCCACAACCGGTATCCGAATTCTTCATCACCATACCAGATGAAGATGCATGGGTTTGACTTGATATCCAGCTTCTGTCTCAACTCCTTGGACACATGTGCAAATGCCTTGCACCCGAACACTTTTAAGTGAGAGTAAGAAACATCTCTTCTTGACCATTTCTTCTCTGGCACTTCAAAGTTTAAAGGAACAGGAGGTGACTTATTTATAAAATAACAAGCTGTCAGCACAGCTTCACCCCAGAATGGCTTAGGTAGTTTAGCCATACTCAGCATGCAACGAACTTTCTCCATAATGGTCTGATTCATTCTTTCGGCTACACCATTGTGCTGTGGAGTTCGTGGAACCGTCTTCTCATGTCTGATTCCATATGCAGCGCAATATGCTGAGAACTCCCCGGAAGTGTACTCTCCTCCATTGTCTGAACGCAGGCACTTCAGCTTCTTCCCTGTTTCTCTTTCTACCATGGCATGAAATAATTTGAAGCAATCAAACACTTGATCCTTACTCTTCAAACAATAAGCCCATACCTTTCGTGATGCATCATCAATGAATGTCACGAAATATCTGCTTCCTCCAAGTGACTCTTCTTCAATGGGTCCGCATACATCAGAGTGTACAAGACTGAATAACTCTGAATGGTTCTTCCTGGTAGAACTGAAGGAAACCCTGTGTTGTTTCCCGAATAGACCGTGTTCGCATGGATCTAGGGCAACACCTTTGCCCATGGAAATGACTTCCTTCTTTGCAAGAGTTGTCAATCCCTTCACGCTCAAGTGGCCTAGCCTCCGGTGCCACAAGTTTGGTGATATCTCTTCTTCAACAACATTAAGACTTGGATGACACAACTTTGCATGAGTTTTATAAAGAGTACCACAAATATGGCCTCTTGCAACAACCAAGGAACCTTTAGATAACTTCCACATACCTTCTTAGAATCGGTTAAGATATCCTTGCTGATCCAGAGCTGTACCGGAGATAAGATTTAATCTAAGATCCGGAACGTGTCGAACATCTTTTAACACAAGTGCGCATCCGACATTGGTTGTTATGTGCACTTCACCAATGCCAACAATCTTCGAGAAACTCGTGTTTCCCATCTTCACAGCTTCAAAGTCTCCTGACTTATAAGATGTGAATAAGTTCTGGTGTGAGGTGGCATGAAAAGATGCAGCTGTATCAATCACCCACTCAACATCATGAGTACCTACGTGTAAACATTCTTGTTCACCATGTGTAACAAGACACGCGTCTGATGACAAACTGACCATAGTTACACCATCTTCTTGGCAAGTATTTTGACTCGTTTGTGGCTGCTCTCGTAGAAACTTTCTACAATCTCTTTTTCTATGTCCATAGTTACCACAATAGTTGCAATATCCTTCAAACCAAGTATTGTTTTCACAGGACATACCTCGTTCTTGTGATCGGCCACGAACTTGAGAATTTCCTCTGTTTTGACCTTGGCCTCTACCTCGACTTCTTCCTCCATTTCTGCCTCCCCCTCGTCTGCTGGTTTCTGACATGAAGGCATATGATTGTTCATTCCCGACTTCTTTTCTTCGGGCTTCTTTGTTCATAAGGGCATCTGTGACCATCTGCATAGTCACTTTGCCATTGGGAGCAGAATTGCTGAGAGTGACAACAAGAGTCTCCCAGCTGTCAGGTAGAGAGCTCAAGAGTAGTATCGCTTGCTCTTCATCTTTGAGAACCCATCCTGTGGTACTCAACTGATTCACAAGATCCTGGAATTGACTGGTGTGTTCTGACACTGAAATACCTCCTCGTAACTTGTGGTTTACTAATCTCCTCATTAGTAACGTCTTATTTCAGGCGGTTTTTGCTTGATACATGCTACCAAGCTTCTCCCATAGTGTGTAAGCACTTTGTTCTTGCGCAACATGGTGGAACACACTATGATCGATCCACTGCCGAATTTGTGCGACAGTTTTTCTATTCATTTTTGTCCATTCTTCATCCGTCTTTTTATCCGGTTTCACGCCATTATTATCAAGAGGATCGGCTAAATCTCTCAAATTTAGCAAATCCTCCATCCGAGGCTTCCACATATTGTAATTTGTGGAAGTGAGCGCAATCATGGTGTCCGATGATGATTTATCCATAATAAAACGCTCAAAATATCTCGTACGTTATTTTTGGAGCCGAATTTGGACCAACGGAGCTCACCGTTGGATCCGGAATGGCCGAAAATGGCAGGAACCGGTCTGACCTCGTCCAAAACCGGTCTGAAAATGGGTGAACCGGCCTCCACAAGTACGAACCGGTTCGGTCCGGTTCAGGCAGCAGCCCAGTGAGCAGACCAGCAGGCGGATGACGTGGCAACAGCTGGCTCTGCGCTGGCGCTGACGTGGCGCCACGTGTCACTGACGTGGCGCTGACGTGGCACCCAGAGGATGGCTTGCACGGCTGACGTGGCGGATGACGTGGCGCTTACGTGGATTGACGTGGCGCTGACGTGGCGGCTGACGTGGCGGCTTACGTGGCTCGTCTTCTTCCGCTGGACTGCGTGATGACGCAATGATGACGCAGGCAGTTTTCCGGCGCGTTTGGGCGGTGCGTACGGCCTCTTCCGGTGGCCAAAAAATTCCCCAAAAATACCAGATTTCTCGTCTCAACGAGACGAATCTAACGGTATGATCAGATCGTGATTCCGAGCAACTTGAAAAATCACGATTTTCTAACCTGTAGAAATTTATCTGAAAATGAGAAAACAGTGTATGAAAACTCAACCTCGCTCTGATACCACTTGTTGGGATTGGAAAATTCTTCTATTCAATATCAAGAACAGAATTACAATAGGAGGAGCAAACTCTCACACTCAACTATTACAAAAAATCAATCCTCACCTATACACTTCTACTCTAAGTGTATTTTCACTCTTCACACACTTTTCTCACTTTCTAAACTGATACAATGAACAACAATGGAGCACTCTATTTATAGGACTAGTTTGGAGACAAGAGGAAGTTGCATCCAAGCTTCCAAAGTATCTCCATATCTCCTTCCATGTTCATGTGTTTGATAGCACCTTCCTAGAAGGTGTTATATGTCTCTTGGTAACTTCCAAGAAAGAAGGTGGAAGATACCTACAATTCAAACTATCAT